GAGAAATTGTTGAACAGTAATTTAGTAGCACTAATCCTAGTGCAAACGATACGATATAACTTAAATATCATCCAGTAATAAATATTTACTTTTTGCTTTCCGCTCTACCGCTTTAGCAAAATGGCTCCATTGTCGGGTATTTGTGGTTTATTGGATCACATCGCGATAGTTTATTTGTTTTGAGTTTTGTAATTAATGTATATGTTGTATGGAAATTGTGCATGAACTTGTTTATGTTCACTTGTGAATTTATTTGTTTGTGTTTACCACACTTGTACATGTTTTCTATTCTTATGAATTTGTTATATCATTGTTTATTTCCTTTCACGTTTTCTAGTTTTTTGGTTAGGAATAATTGGGTGGAAGAAAATTGGAGGAACATTCTTAAATAACAGTCGTCGAGCGTACGACGTAAAACAAACATGTTTTATTGTTTTTTTTCATTTTTGTTAGTTTAGGTAGTATGTTGATTGTTGTTTAAACAAGTTGAAGTTGGTCTTGTTTTAAATTCTCAAATATTCACTTTTCAACTTGTTTAAACTTCTGAGAGCTTGCTTTCATTATCTTGAGAAAATGTGTATGTGTATAATTCTGTTTTTCTAAATTCTTTTGTTGTTGTTTGGACTCAAATTTTGGTCCGGTAACTTGAAGAATTTTGAGGTGATTCTCTAATTTTTATTGATTCAACTTGCGGATGTGCGGTAATGATAGTTTTCAAAGTTGGTACAAGCTAGATACTCGTTTATCGCTTTCTATAGCATAACATGTTTGGGAAACTTTTCATTTGTATAGTTACCATTCCATTCATTCTTTCTTCATTACTTGCTCATGACTTGAATCAATTTAGTTCCCTTTTTACCCCAAATATGAGGAAGCTTTCCATTATTCATATATGCTGGAGGTCACATTCTTGTTTTAACTAGATTTCATTTTGTTTAATCTTTTATTTGTGTTGATTGTATGAAAGCATAAAAACGATCAAGGCATTTTGTTTGATTTTGAGCACAACTACCTATCCAAATAGTCAACTCACCTTGTGAGTGTGTGAACTTTTGTTAACCCCTTTTGAGCCTTTTTATCAATGCCCATGTTATTTTTGAACTTAATGCTTGTCTATAAGTGTTTGGTTTTTCATTTTGAATGAACATTGATTCTTTGTTTTCTTAAACCCTAAACTATGATTTTTAGTTTGAATTTTCGCCTTGCCTTAGAAAGTAGGAAGTATTCACTTTAATGTTGGTTGAATTCAAGTTAGGGAGAGAATTGTTTGCTTTCTCTTGTGTTTACTACTATGAGGTTGTGAAAAAGAAAAGAAAAAGAAAGATTAGAAAAAAGAAAGAAAAAATTGAAAAAGCTTTGGAAAAAAAAAAGAAAAACAAAAAGCGTATGGAATAATGTTGTATTAATAATTATGGTGTTTTAATTTGACAATTTGGAATGAAGAAAGTTGATAGAAATTTTATGTTTGAACTTTTGCGATTGATCACTCCCTTAAGTTTAGGAAAGTTTTTGTTTTGATTAGCTTTAGGACTCATCTCTTGTTTTTTAACCAAGCCATATTACAACCTTGAAAAGCCCTTGTCTTCTCACCTTTATATTTTCAATGTGACTTTTTGGATGAATGTATAATTTAGTCTTTTGTTTGCTAGATTGTGGTTGAGTGTTTTTTTTTTCCTCTCCTTTGTGTGTTCTTCATCTACCGAATAATTTTTACTAGGTGTGATTTATGATTGAGATTGTTTTTTTTTAGAATGTTTTGTATGATTTTTGTACTTAGGATTCGTTTCGTTTACATGTTATTGTTGTAGGATTATGGTAATTATTTACCTTGCTTGTACGTTTTTGTTTGAACCATACTTTTGTTTTCGTTTTTCAAACTTGTTGCATCATGATTCTTTGGTTGATTACTTTTTCTTCTTTAAGTTTGTTTGGTCTTGTTTGAGGATAAACAAGTTCAAGTTGGAGAGTGTTTGATAAGCGCAAATTGTAGTTATTTTTGTGTATACTTTTTATTGCACTTATCAATGCTTTTGTTAATATTTTGTGAATAATTCCCCGCTTTGTTGGTAAATTAATTTAGTTTGTATATATTTGTGTTTTCGTGTACATAGTGTATTGTTTGATAGTTTTATTTTCATTTTGTAGGTATTGTGGCATTGTTGGATAAGGAGCAATAAAAACTCCAAGATGAAATTTTGATCAATAAAGGAATAAGGCAAAATAAGAAAAGTCATTGCAAGTTGCGTAGAGAAACCAACAAAAGTTGATGTTCAGGTGTGTGTCGACGGGTGGCGTGTTTTGGCGCCGGGCGACAGGCTTGCGCTTCTTCGTTGTCAGGCAAGCATGGAGTGGGAGGTTTTGAACCATTTTCCAGTTACCTCTACCTTGCTTCGTTGTTGTGTCGTCGGGCGAGGAATGAAGGTGTCGCCGGGAGAGGAATAAAGGTGTCTCCGGGCGAAGCTTTCCTTCGTCGGGCGATGGAAGATCTTTTTCCCTAATTTCCTGCATGGCGCAACCTGGTCCAAGTGTAATAAGGTCATCGTCGGGAGACACAATTCAAGCGTCGGGGAATGCGTGCGGAACATAATTTTGTTTATATTTCCATTTCCATATCATTTGTTATGGGGATGTTTTTGGGGATAGTTTTAGATCCCAAAATCATACAGATGATTTGGGGTGGATTACTTTTCGATCGACACTAACAAATTGTGAGATTGTGGTTCATTTATATTCTTCTTTGTGTATTCTTTATTTTTTGGGTTTTGTATATGTATTTACTTTGAACTCATGTATACTTGTCGCCCATGGTGTTATATTTATATTGCTTTACAAATTTATGTCGATTATTATCCTGGATTTTTGCTCTGTGCTTGGGGTTTGGGTTGTTATAGACATATATTGCTCGAATTTTTATCTAGGATAATTGTCTAATAGTGTCTTGATTCTAGAGATAGATTTAATGCTATTATTCACTTTTGTGTCTGTGATTAATGCCTATGTGTTGGGTGTGTCATGCTGAGAGATCGTCGACACGAGTAGCACATTTGACTTCTATGTTGTTGAGGTTGTTGAGAGATCGCAACATAGATGATTTAGTGGGTGTTGTGTTTTACACGTGATGACATTGATGAGTATTGTAGGTTGAGTATAACTGGTCGATAGGTTTAAGTCTGTGAGGAGTAGATTATATGCATGCTTGATAAGTTTCCCCTTTGAAGTATAAATTTATTTTTTGTTAATACCTTTTACCTTTCCTTACAAATAACCCATTTAAACCAAACTCATAAATGCGAGAAATTATTGAACAGAAATTCAGTAGCACTAATCCATGTGGAGAAGATACGATATAACCTAAATATCATCCGGTAATAAATACTTACTTTTTTCTTGTCGCTTTACCGCTTCAGCGATTGCCTTTGAATAAGATACCTCTCTCACTTTCACTCAAACACTCTCCTAAGTGTTTATTCAATTACAGTATGATTGAAAAGATGGAACAACTAAAACTCCTACAGATACTTTGTTCTCGATCTTATATAAATAGTATCTAGGACAAAGTATTACAATAAACAAAGACAAGACTCAACTAAAACAAAATTCTCCTAATGAGTAGATATTTTCTCTTGAGGTCCGAGTCTTCAAAAACGAGATGAACTATTTATATAGCCACAAAATTCCAGCTCCAAATCTCACATGAGATCAATCTTCAATAATGATGATTTTCATACTTGATTGATCTCCTTGAATAAATCTAATTCTCTTGCTTTATTATTATCGTATTTGATTCAGATTACACATGATCAATTAAATCTTTGATATCCTAGATTAACACAAATCTTGAAAAATAAGCACATCAAAATAAATCTTTATTAGAATAGATATTTTCCAAATCCAAACTTAAGTTATCACACCTATATTACTTATATAATAGTAGAGGAAACAAAACTCAAAATGACAAAATATATTTCAATTATCTTGCTTAACAAGTAACTAGTTCGAGACAAATGTCTCACAGATTGTTCGAATATTTGGATCAACATTTGTCCATGTAGCATAATTCTGAATATTGAACAAATAAAATAAAAAGTGTACTTGATATAAATCACAATTCCAACTTCTCAAGTAAAGGATTCAGAATACATATCTTTCCAAAACTGAACCACACTTTAAATTCAAATCTTGTAATTAAAAAGAAATCCAAAAGGATATTTTCATGGAATATAAATCTCCAATCAATATCTTTGTAGAATAAATAGTGAATAAAATAAATTTGAACCAAATCATCCTTCAAAACAAATCCAATAAAATATTTTTTGCCTATATAAAATCCAATTATTTTAAATAAATATTATAATCAATATACAAATATTTTTCAAATTGATTTGGATTAGTAATCTTCTTCTAAAATGAAATATTTTGATTGTACCAAAGTTAATGCAGAGTTTCTAACCAAATACTTCATAGAAATAAACATAATTACACTCATATTTCTTGCGAAATCTAGATAACATACTGAGGCCAGATGTTTCACTTTTTGCTGGAAAATCTTATCCCACATGATGCCTCTTCACATTTTACAGCTTGTGTTGCTCATGTTTTTTTATACTAAAATGCAACCAATCAAAGTAACAACAATATTTCCCTTTGGCAAATTTTGGCTAAAACAGCTTTAATAAATCTTTTAGAGTAAATCTTCTCTCAATATAAATGACATAAGTAACATCATGTGGTTACTATACAAGCTCATCTATGCATATCATATGCACTCAATCATTACTTTAACTTTTTCCATAATATGGAAAAGGTACATATAGAAATACCATGGCAATACATTCTTTAGGACATAATTATCAAAGTTTTCGAAACGGATATTTTTCAACTAATGTTAACTAAAAATAATCTATAACCATGCGCTTATAGATGACAGCAACTCACAACTTCTTATGAACACCAGTTGGAAGACACATCCTTTCTTGAACATCATCATATCATCATATCCCTCATAAACTTGCAGTAGAAACAATAGCAAGTTGAGGCAAAAAATCTCCATAAAAAACTAGATTAGTTTCATTAACAGGTGCACAGATGTGTATCACAATGCCTAGGACATATTTCCCAACATTTAGTATGTAACTCAAATTCAGCAACCTTAAAGAAATACCATCATTCTTAACCACAAATTCCTTTATCAACTTAGGATAACTATATCCATAATTCAACAGTGTCTTCAATAACTTAGCATATCTAAGAAGCTCCATATTTTTATTATACTTTAGTGCTTCAACACAATATTCTTTTTTAAGAGTCATTCTCCTATGATGAGCAACATTCCTTTTCTTCCTATCTGATTTCTTACTAACATCCACATTTCTTCTTCTTCTTGGGTGTATTATTTTCCTTGGTATGAGTAAGGATCTTCTTGGAAGGAGTCCCTTTAGCCTTCAGCACAACCTTTCTACTTTCTATCTTTTTCTTTGACTTCTTGTCAAACCTTTTACTATGATAATCATCTTTAGTTACACCTTCAATGACAGGAGGAGATCCATCATGAACTTCATTGTTCTTAAGCAACCCTCATCAGCATTGAAAAAATAATTAACAACATCACCAATGTTGTCACTTTATTTATTCACCATATAATTCACTTCATAATTAACAGGACAACTTGCACATCCTTCCTCTGAGTTGGAAGCTCGGTCCCTAACATGTCATACATGTTGTTTGAAACATCTTAGTTGACATCTTCATTACCATCTTTAAAGAAATTAATAGTATAACCAATATCTTTAGTAATCTTGTCAATAGAGGGAACCTTGTCTTTCCAAATAGTCATTGATGATGAAAGGGGAAACTTCACACACTTTCCTCTATGATACACATTTCTATACTCCTTACTTCCTTCAACATTGCAATAAGAATAGATGTTCATAATAAACTCCTTGACTAGTTTTTCATAGCAAGGACCAACATTATTAATTGTCTTCTTTAATCCAATAACTTTTAGTAAATCATGATTTCTTTGCAATCAAGAGCTTCTTCAGTTGCAATCCTTATTTGAAACACATATTTCCACTTCTTAAATCTTGTTTCATAAAGAAATGACACATTATCCATGGGGGCAGCAAGATCATTCACATGAACTCTCTTTCTACCAACCTTTCTTCTTATGGTGGACACAATTGAAGGTGTGAAAAACACAAGAAAATGGGGGGGGGGGGGTTGAATTGAGTTTTTAAAACAAAAACTTTTCTTTAAAAATATTCACCTTTAAATTAAAATTCTTTTAATCTTCACTCTTGATAATAACAATAAATAAGAACATGAAGTAAAGAACAAAGTATGTTTATACTAGATCACTTGAAAATTATCAAGCTAGTCTAGTCCACCCACCAAGGTGATTTCGCCTCACTCAATCGAGGACTTAATTCACTATAATCAAACTGATCAAAATTTGCACAAGCTACCCACAAGTGACTAAGAACCTCTAAGACTCGCAAGTCAAAGACTTCTTAAGGATACAGACCTACCCGGTCCCTTAAGGATTATCAAACAATAATCAACCTGGTTATTACAATGCACAAGCTACCCGCAAGTGACTAACAACTTTTAAAACTCGTAAGTCCAAGACTTCCTAAGGATACAGACCTACCCGATCCCTTAAGGAAAATCAAACAACTGTTTGAATACAAGTTTTTTTACAAGAATATTGCTTCTACACAAGCTGAATATGTAAACTATTTTAAGAACAGTGACTTAAGAATGTGAAAGCTATGAGCATCGTTTGCGCGTGAATATTTCGTTGATTGGAAGCTTTATCTCTTAGTCTTCAAGCCTTTATATAGCCAATAAAGTAATATATCCTTTGAGGGGTACTCTTGGGATTTCCAAAAACATTGGCAGCTTTAACAGTAACATGAGGGACAAGATTGTGCGACGCGTCCGTCCTTTCATGGTAGTGGAATTAAATGTTGATTGTACCATGTACTATTTGTACCACGTTAACATTATCTTCTTTCCTTCTATACTTTAGAGGCTTCTACAAGCATGAGTTTAGAAGCGAGAACATAACACAAGGTCATCAGAACTTCGAGTCTTCAAAGTCTTCAGAACTGCGTCATCAGAGTCTTCAGTACTTGGTTGTGAGAACCTTTTCTTGGAGCCTTGGGTCTTTAGAACTTCAAGTCTTTAGAATATTTAGAACTTTTGTCTTTAGAGTCTTAAGCACTTGGTCTTTATAACCCTTATCTTTAGAACTTTGGGTCTTTAGAAACTTGAGTCTTCAACATCTGGACTTGAGTAGAAACTTTTGTCTTCATGTCTTCTGACTGTTTCTTTAGAACCCGTTGTCTTAAGAAACATGAGTCTTCAGCATCTGGACTTAAGTAGCAACTTGTGTCTTTAGATCTTCTGACTGGTTTCTTTAGACAAATATCAGAGCCTTCTGGAGTGTCTTGCTACTGTTCATCAGAACTTGTATAGTGTTGAAGAGGAACTAATTATCTTCTAATGTCTTGGCCACGCCATCCATCAGAAGCAGAGCATGTTTGTTAAGTACTCAACAATAAAAAACATTAGTACAACAAAATTTTTCACACAAACATACTCATTTGTTATCATCAAAACTTAGAGATAACATTGCAGAACAAAATCTTGTTCTTACAATCTCCATCTTTTTGATGATGACACAATTTTATACATAATCATAATCAGTGAAATAAGAAGTTTAAGGAATACTTATACTTCAGATGAGAAACTACCCCCGAGTAACACACTGAGGGAAGATCAGATATCCTGAGTGCGAACCTTCTGGGTGAACTCCCCCTGATTGCAGTAGATCATATATAGAATCCTTAGAGTCTTAACTTTAGATGCCAATAGAAAAATTGATATCTTGGTGCCAATATAACAATTGAGATCTTGATTTCATATAACTTCTTCTTATGGAATCTTGACTTTAGATGCCAATGAGAATGAAATCAAATTGAAAACTTTGAAACTTTAATGTCACTAAGACAGCTTCTAGATTCTCAATTCTTTGAGTCTGATTTCAGATTTCATTTCTTGGAGTCTGATTATGAATTGAAAAGCATCTTCAGAGACTGAAGCCAATAGTTTATACATAAGCCTTGCATAATGCTTTCAGATCTTTGTCTTTAATCAGAGTTCTGATTTCCTGAAAAAGAAAACAATTCTAACAAAAACAGAATTTTAATTGGGTTAGAATCTAAGCAGCTCTTTTCAGAGAATATTTTCCAGAACTTGACTATTGAAATCAAAATTACATTCATTTAATTACTCCATCTTTTTGTCATAATCAAAAAGGTAATTATGTGTGAAAAACATAAAAACCAGAAGAAATAACAAGAAAAGATAAGAAGTTTCATTAATATTCAAAGGAGATTACAACGGAAAGAGAAACATAGATAGGAAAATATATCTAGACTTCAAGCACATCACAACTCTCATCAAATAGAGCATTGCCTATGATGAACGGATTTTTTTGAATAGTTTCAATTATACCTGCTAACTTAAACAGTTCAGACAATACACGTCCATACGGAATGGATTTTTTAGAGTTCTTGGATGATAGGATTTATAACTTCAGATGATTGAATATTATTTTCGAGAGATGAATTGGAAGAATCTTGCAAAGGAAATAAAGAAGACACATATCCCTAGGAAAAACTTTATCGAGATCTTCTCCTCTGGGATGAAGATTTTTCAACAGAAACTGAAATCAGATTTTTGCTAGTGGTTTCAAATGATCCGAATTAAGGGGATCATATCTAAATGAAGAGTTAGGAACATTTGTAAACATTTCAACATTCATGCAAGAGTTTGGTAAAGTTGGACTCTGGATGGCTTCATCAATGGAGGAGCGAGTAATGGTAATCGGAACACCAAAGATGTAGGAATGAATGATGTTTTCATCAAGACTGATAGAAACATGAAGCCAGAAGTTCTTTAAGAGGTTAGCATAAATAGGACCTCTCAGCATTCTTGCATACCCAGGCCATCCTTGATTTTCAATAAGCCTGTTGATGAAACCATCATCGGACACATAGTTGGGTATTTTCTCTTTGATTACCTCGAGAAGATTTTCATCTCCTTGAAAGGTTCTAACAGTCATGGTATGCAGACAAGTTTGAAGAGAAGAGACGGTTGAAGATGATACAAGGATAAGGACTTAGTGAATGACTATATATGAGAAGAGATATAAATAGTCAGTCAAGTAGTTCACGAAGTAAGACGATTAAAACACTCAAATGACGTCACAAACTGCTAAAAGAAGGAAATAAAATAAGAAGTAGATCAAACGTTAAGGTGAAAGAACATGAAAACATTTAATTGGAACACGACAGAGAATATCAAACAAAGGCATGAAACGATTGTTCCCAAGACAAAGAAAAAGAGTAGTTAAATAAATGTAATCATGATTAATCAATTTCAAGAAAAATAATCACTCGTGCATGACCTAAATAGAGTGTGATAGACACTAAGTCTATTTAGGTAATGTGTTTGATATTCTCAGCATCTGGAAAACCACGAATATTTCCATCTGATCAGGAACATTTCTGACTGAAACATCTTTTGACGACTGAGATAAAACAAATTAGAAGTCTTTTGTTTATGTCAGAATTTTATCCCTTCATACTACGACTAACACACATTTGATTCTAATGACATCTTACTCTGGACATAAACCCATTTTCAGATTCTTTAGAATAAACAGAAATATATCTTCAGCTACGGGTTTTATAAAAATGTCAGCCAAGTGATGGTATGTATCTATGAGTTTCAAAGATAGGATACCTTTTTGAACATAGTCTCTAATAAAATGATGTTTGATTTCTATGAGTTTAGCCCTAGAGTGTAGGATATGATTATTACTTAAGAAAATAGCAGTAGTATTATCATAGAAGATAGGAATGTTACTCTCATATATTTGGTAATATTCCAGTTGATTCTTCATCCATAGCATCTTAGTATTGTATAGTGCTGCTGAAATGTACTTTACTTCTGCAGTTGAAAGAGAAATTGTTGATTTCCTCTTGCTTGACCATGAGATCAGATTCTTGCCTAAAAACTGACAGTTTCCAGAAGTACTATTCCTCTCTAGCCGATCACCATCATAGTCTCTTCTTTCCCCATAATACATGGATACATTGGAATCTTTGCTACAGTGTAGTATGTTATGTTGAATTTCTTCAGAAGTTCTTTGGTGTACTTACTTTGATAAATGTAAGTAGCCTCTGGTTTTTGATCAATCTGAATACCCAGAAAGAACTTCAATTCCCTCATCATGCTC